CTTCTCTATACATTACTTTTAATATGAACGACAATGTTATACAATCAATGTATCATAAAACAAATGTAATGATAAATTATCAGAAACTATGCCTGCCCTCTACAGGATAAAACTTATCATACTATTGTTAAGCAGATAGCCCTTCATGAGGCAGAGGTTATCATTGACAGGTGGGATACTTTTGAAGAAAATAAAAGTATATACGATCAACACTTGTAAATCCATAAAAAAAATATGCCTAAGCGTGTCAGTAACATGAGATGTTAAGCTGAATGTGGTATTTATCCGCTATATCAGTACATGCTCCCCTACTTCTAAAAATTCTTATCGGATAATAAAAACAAACTTCTTAATACGTCATTTATAACGGACTATGAATTTTCTTGTAAATATGTCTGTCCACGAAAATCGTTTTGTCACAGCATAAGGATTTTATCCAGATATTTTGAACTTGAACAAAATGACCTAAAGAATAGTGATATAAAATCTGCTACCGAAAAGAAATTTGCCGATCTTCTCACAGCAGTTACTGATCAGCATGAGGATTCAAAATCGACCCAAAAATTTCGGACGCATGGAAAAATTAAGCCGGACTTTAATGCGATACCGTTTTATCTGCACTCCGTTAATTAAGTAAATGTCACATTAAAGTTGCGCTGACTTCGATCAGGCTTAGATAACCGTTTATGTACACAATGTTATAATAATCAAGACGAATATCAGTCGTCCATTTAAAATTAAATCAATTAATGGCGGACCAAGCTAACGTTTATCGTTAGTCGCTGATGTCACTACCGGAAACTGGTAATGAAAGGCCCGCCAAGCGAGGCTACCATTGCCATTGAGCATGTTACTTGATAATTGAGAATATGTGGGTGGAGTTATCGTCTGTCAATCAAACGATCGCCAATTCTCATAGACGGTGCAGACACAATTGATGCCTATTTCTAGTCCAAACTTCCAACAGTGACAATTCCGTTCAGAACAAAGTAATTTGACTGAAATTACAACATTTTCTTTTTTTTTATCATCTATTTTTGAATTGGGTGATCACGTGGCTAAGTGGGTAAGACGCTGACTCGCTAGCCTGGAGGTCGGGTGTTCGATCCCTGCATTGGCCGAGAAAGTTCATCCAGATTTTCCGGCGTGGTTTCCCCTTGTCAGTGATGCAGGAAGGAGGGCCTGACAAGGACAGCTGTCTAGTCGTTCGGATGGGACGAAAAACCGAGGTCCCGTGTACATATTGGCGTGCACGTAAAAGATCCCTTAGCAGTTGGAATTCGATATAAGAGTAGGCCGTAGCGCAGCTGCCCGGGCAAAATTTCCCTCATAGCACACTGTATGGCGTATGCCCGTCTTCATTAGCCCAGTTTAGGAGCAGAACAGTAGGACGTTAAACCCCATTTCATTTCATTTCATTTCATATTTTTGAATTATTATAGCAAGAATGGCCAACTCTTTATAAAACTCTTAACTAATGTATCTTTAATACAGTACCACAAATATACATGTAACAAATAAAGAGACACATTATTGTTCAACGTCAGATTGACGGAACAGCTCCATAACAGCGTGATAACGATTTCAAACGACAACAAAATATCTATTACATCAAAAATATCTGCCTGTAGTTGTTTCTTTTTGTGTCATTATTTAATTGGACAAAGCTCTAATGCTTAACAATCATCCACATCATAGCTGGTATAAAGAAAACAGATGACGCACATGACAGCCATTTAAATCTAATCTATGTCATAGAAGGCAGCAATTGACGACCACAAAAACTAGGTAATGTAACAACATCAGTAACAGAATCGTTTTAGTCCGGTTAAAGAGCAAATCGGGAGTTATCGTTAGCTTTTAAAGTGTTAGTCAAGGTGGTTCATTGAAGTCTCGAGTTCGATTCCGACGTTAGCCAAGAAAGTTTCAGCTCTGGTTCCGCCTTTTGATTATTTTATAAACACTATTTTATTGAATTTTAGGATTTGGAAACCGGTAAAACCTATACCCCCCCCCCCCCCACACACACACACACACCTTCTTAGTGGTGCATGATGGATGACCTGTCAAGAAACAACGTCTAGTCGTGCGGATGGAACGAGAAACCGAGAAATGGGACCTAACTTAATATAGCTGATCGATGTCTGGTGCCACTTCTCAACTATACGATTTTGCACTTTCACACAATACGAAATTATAGTTAGACGACTGACTACCATTGTCCCAAAAATGAATGGAGCAGTGTGAAAGACGGTGGTTTGCTAACAAGGGAGTCTTTTTACTTGAAAATAACGAAGGCCTTATACATTTATATTGTTTGGCTCGGGCATGGACCTTTTAATGCATGTATTATAAGGTCCATGACACGGACCTAAAAAAATATGATATATTCAGACCATTACTGATTTGTGCTTTTAACTGATTGCCCAATAGATGAATAATGGATGAATAAGGGAATTCATTTTAAAAAACATTTCTAGAAATATAATCCTCTCCAATCTCACAAGACGACGAAAACATTGAATAAAACAAAAAATAAATCAACTATAATGCATAATCCTTATTTTTATAGACATGAATTGTGAATTTGATATTACTTTTTGTGAATTTAATATTACTTTTTGAACAACTGTTAAAATTTAATGATAATATTGAATTTAGGTGCCAGAACATTTTGAATATAAATCTGTTTCCATTATAATAGTATGATATTAAAATTAAAGAAACTGCATGCTTTATTAGGTTCTAACTTTGTAAAAAATATTCAATTGAATAAAGATAGCTGGTTTTACATATTTAGTAATTTATAACATGCTATTCTATTTTTTCAATACCATCTCCATGACAATGTATTCATGTATTTCAAATAGTTATTAATATGCCAGGAGCCACAGTGGCTAAGTGGTTAAGACGTTAGCTCGCTAGTCTGAAGGTCGCAGGTTCGCTCCTGGTTTTCCGGCGTGGTTTCCATTTGTCAGTGGTGCAGGACGGAGGACCTGACAAGGACATCTGTCTAGTCGTTCGGATGGTACTAAAAACCGGGGCCCCAGTTGGAATTCGATATAAGAGTAGGCTGTAGTGCCGCTGTTTGGGCAAACCTTCCCTCATAGCACACTGTATTAGACCAGTCGGAGCAGAACAGACGGGGGGGGGGATCCTAAGAAAATTCACAAAGTTTAACAGGCGAATCAATGGTTACGTTTACTATTCAGGAGAATTTTGCCCGGGCACATTCTTCGATTACCAATCCTCGATGGTTGTTTTACGTAGACGATATTGTGTACGGGAATGTTTCTCGATTTTGAGCACCATGCCAAAAAGCCAGCACAATTACCATTATGACTTTGTCTTCTAAGACACCTAAAGATAGTGGTATGATCAAGATTCCAACGTAGTCTTTACAAGAGTAATAATAACTTTAGTTGAATTTCATCGATTTAAATGATATTTGGACAAGTACGTTAACTTTGGTTGTGTATTTAAACTCTATATAAAATAGTTATTCTCACAGCGTATCGTTTTATCAACTTCACCCAACATATCAACATATCATTCGGTATAATCTCTTACTAGAGTAGTACTTTACTTTATCCAGTATTTACTTAAATATTTCATAAATACCCAATATTGTTATATTTCCTAAATACTTTATATTTCTTTTTTATATTTCTGAAATATTTTTTATATATTTCTGAAATATTTTTTATATATTTCTGAAATATTTTTTATATATTTCTGAAATATTTTTATATATTTCTGAAATATTTTTTTATATATTTCTGAAATATTTTTTTATATATTTCTGAAATATTTTTTTATATATTTCTGAAATATTTTTTTTATATATTTCTGAAATATTTTTTTTATATATTTCTGAAATATTTTTTTTATATATTTCTGAAATATTTTTTTTTATATATTTCTGAAATATTTTTTTTTATATATATATATCTTAAATATACATATTTTGGGGTACAAGTTTCATCAACATCCATTTCATCATATCTTTTTTTTTTCAATGCTTCATTGGATTCAATATCGAATAATCTATGAATTCTTCACACACTCACCATTATATCATTATCATATGACACATATCTACCTAATTTAGCTGTCATTATCATGCGTTCTTTGTATATAGTTCATTACTACCCAACCCTTATGGCTTGCCACCGCTTTTGATGGTTTCTAAATGATAATTTCTCATTGTTCATCAATGTTTTCAATGTTCCATATTTTGTATATATTATTATGTACTTAGGGTGACCCACCCTAAATAAATATCTCCAAATATCTCGACAATTACGCCACAATATTTATATATATGCCAAGCCTCAAATCAGTTTCACACAATTATATGGCTATTTATCGACTCAAAGAGTGTGCGGGATAGTCAGAAATCAGTTCGAGACACGCAACTGAAGCGTGCACATTGAGCCGTGTCGAGACCAACTTTCTGTAGAGTGCACGGGTCACCCTACAAGTTGTCACTTATCTGCGACATCACTTCGGTGGAAAGGGACGTTAAATAAAGCTATTTCACGCCATGGTTTTCATTCTTTGCTTGGTAAAGACGAGAGAACCCTCGACTGAACATCGTCAGAAATAAATCTTTTAAGTAACATGTATTCTATAATTGTGTCATGTGTAATAACTTCACCTGTAATTTGTTATGGCTTTAATATGGGTTGGGTGGTGTTTCATTAGAGTACACTCGACTCTCACGATACACGCGGTACACATCTTATCTGTTCCAACAAATCTAATACAGGTCATGCGTATATGCTGCAAGGGATATTTTGACCTGATGGCACTGGTTTTGTCTACTTATCATCGAATTCCCACTGACATGAACTCTTTTACGTGTGCGCCAAAGAGTACACGAGTGGGTCCGATACAAACGACCAGACTCTTTATTCCTTCCCGACCCCGCCCAACAAAAAAGCAATGGAATATCGGTAAACTATTCAAACAGGTATTATATAATTATCTACACTTACTATTTTTAAGAACGTTAAGTTTTCTCTCAGTGCACCGATGCACCCAAAGAAACTAACGATGAACATTGCAGCTCCGACTCCTATCATGATGTAAGCGGGATCTGTGACTAGATGATCTAGAGGATCTAATCCCTGTTTCTGTAAACGGGCCCAGATTCCTACACCCATTAAAACACATCCTGCCACCTGTAATGTAGAATGAGTGACAATATAATATTGTATGATATGAAATGTGGTTTTACGTCCTGGTTAATGAAAATAGACATGCGCCATGTGGTGTGCTATGCGGAAAATTTTCTGCGTGACTAAAATTTGTATCATGCAAGCAGCGCCAAGACTGGGAAATGACACTGGTAAAATACCTTCCTAAGATAGCCAATGAAAGGGAGATAATTCATATTTGCGTGTTCGATCGCTGAAGATTTAATAACTGTGTACAAAAGCGGCGGAAATGAAATGGTGTCTACCGTCAAACGTTTCTGCACTGACTGGGCTAATGGGCTAATGAAGACGGACACACGACACGCAATTAGCTATGAGGGGAATTTTGCCCTTAATTCGAACTTGAACTGTACACGGGCCCTCGTGGTTTCGTCCCAACCGAAAGCGTGTACGCTTTGCCGAGTCCTGCACCACTCAGCCATGTGAACCACCCCAGACAATCCACATAAACTGTATCGGCAAATACCAGGATCAAATACGGAACCCCCGGGTTAGCGAGCCAACGTCTTACTCACTGAGCCACCAAAGGATTCGTACTTTCTCCACTTACCCATACTAGGAAATTAAAACCAAACAGGAAATATTTGGCCCAGAAACTCCATTCACAAAATCTGTTATCAGAATCTAATGATATAGTATCGTCGTGTTGGCTGTAGTCTCTAGACAAGTAGTCGTTACCACTAATACTTCTTACCATCTTTGCTAAAAAAAAAAACGATTAGTTTTTTATGTTTTCTTTGAATTATAACAAATGTTTGTTGAATAAAATGGCACCAATGATAGTACTTCTAACAATACAGTCAACTAATAGGTTCCAGTATATTAATGTTGAGTATACAGTATATTATTGTTAAGTATACAGTATAGTATCCAGTATATTTTTGTTGAGTATTTAGTATAGTATACAATATAGTAATGTTGAGTATACAGTATAGTAATGTTGAGTATACAGTAGTATAGTGATGTTAAGTATACAGTATAGCATACAGTATATTAATGTTGAGTATACAGTATATTATTATTTAGTATAGTATCTAGTTATTGAGTATACAGTATAGTAATGTTAAGTATACAGTATACTAATGTTGTAAAAGTAATAAATGTATACAACACTATCAACTAATAGTATACAGTATAGTAATGTTGTAATGGTAGTAAACTTAACTACCAACTACTATTAGCTTCTGCTACTACTACCACTACTACTTGTATTAAATAATGTTGCAATATTATAAATCAAATTGCTACTACTGCTACTACTGCTGCTACTACTACTACTGCTACTACTACTACTACTACATTTATGACACTACCACTGGTATTAATTATAAGGCGATAGTCACATAAAAAAAATATTTTAATTCCACAATACCTATACACATATGGTCAGTTACAGATTGACTATAATATGTTCAGTTTCTCTTTTTTTTGCGTTTCAAATTTTAGACTTTCCCTTGGAATATTTGTATTCTCAGTGATGTGTTCTTACCGTTAGTTCTAGTTGTGTTTGGCGTGGGATGTTGTTGAACAATATAATTCTTAAGATCCCTACGCACAAGAGAATAACTGACATAAAATTTGAATGATATGTTAGTACCGAGGTGATCTAGTTTGTGTTCAGTGGACGTTAAACTCAATTTCCAATTAAGTAAGCTATATTACTGATGAGTATGTTTGTCGTCAATTTAACCGTAATCTACTATATAAATAATGAACAACTTGCTTTTGAAAGAAATTACAGAAATAAATAAATATACATAGAAACAAAAAAATCATATTATTAATTAATACTGGGCGTGGATGGTTGTTCATTATCGGAATCTATATTCCTCTATCTTACCGTTAGTTCTAGCTGTGTTTGGCGTGTACTGCAATGTTTATAGTAATTTACTAGACTTTATCCACACATTTCAAATTTCACCCACTAGAAAACCTCAGCGAATCTACAATAGTTTATCCAAAGATGACAGAATCAAAATAAATACCACACATGCATTTACTAAAATATATAGGTATACATGTACGTTAAAATGACTAACTACAGCTGTTATTTGTCATTTTAATCAAGTCTATTTCGGTGTTATTGTATGCATATATAATATATCTGTCTGGTAAAGCTGGACTATTATTGTAACAGGTGTCATAGCAGTTATTGAATATTTCAATAGGTCGAATACAAATATATCGATTTTACTTTCAATGCGTATACATAGAAACCGAATGTGGACACAGACGAACCATTAGAATTGTTAAGCTTGCGTTATTCCCTTTGTGATCATTTGGAAAGGGTGGGCTTTAAATCATAAGGTCTGGAATTAAGTCAGCTAGCATGCTTTGGATTCCCAGCTAGCTCACATGACAAGGGGTAGGGCCGCGGGTCCTCTGGTTTTCTCCCGCTGCTAAAGACGCCTGTATTCCTGTATACGTGCAAGCAAATTATTGCAATAAAATTTAACCATATGCTAGTCCCGAAATGACCTAGTATATGGTAAGCGGATGTGAAACTCTTGGCATTTCGCCTGAGCTTCCCGTTACCCCCACTGTTAAAGGAAACTAGCTCCCATGAAAATTATTGGATCAAAAGATAGATATACCACGTCTCATACCCGTAATAATCTTGGGAGCTATAGTTATTTGCATATTGTATTGTACATGTATCCACCTGTTGTAGGATTGTGTTGTTCTCTTTCCTTCCCAATTCAAACACTGGAATAGGAATTATATATAATGATTCTAGATCTTGAATTTTTTTAAGTAGCAGTGGTGGCTGAGTAAGACGCTAGCTCGCTAGCCAGGAGGTCTTGACAGATGGAATTCGGAATAATTTAAGAGTGGGCCGTAGTGGAGCTGTTCGAGCAAAATTTCCGTCATAGAATAATGTATGGCGTAAGCAAGCCCGTCTTCATTAACTCAGTCGGTGCAAAAATAGTAGGACCTTATACCCCATTAAACAAATTGTATTTGTTTTAACAGTTACGAAACGCCCTATAAAAGTGTAGACGCGGAAGAACATAATGGGAGATTACTCTGTTGCAACTATTTGACAACAAGAAGGATATCAGCCTCGACATTTTCTCACTGAGTGATTCATTGTTCAGGCAGGGAGAGAGAGAGAGGAATGGGGTTTGACGTCCACTCAACACAAATCAGGTCACTTCGGGACTAACATGGTTTAATTTTATTTCAATAATTCGCTTGCGTGTAGGGGTTTTTAGCAGTGGGAGGAAACCGGAGGACCCGGAGAAAACCAACGAGGTTGGACAGGCGACCCTACTCCTTGTCACGTACAACCAAGGATTCGAAACCACGCCAGTTGATTCAATGACAGGCTTTATGATACAGCGCCCACGTGCTAACCGTTCGGCCATCCAACCCCCTAACTGGCAGTGACGTACGAGCCTGGATGTATTTCGTGGAGTTGGGGGATGGGGCTACACAAAAATCAGGGCTAACATTGTAATGTTTTGTTATATTATTGAACACCAAGGGATAACATTCAGACAAAAATCTTCAAGACTCATATTAGTCATATTCCAATCTATAATACCGATAATCTCTCTCTCTCTCTCTCTCTCTCTCTCTCTCTCTCTCTCTGTACTACGCTTTAGGAAATAAAGAGAACAATAATTAAAAACAAATATTTATTTTATTATGTTGAAAACAAAGCAGTAGAATAATTACAGGATTACTATAATCAGGCGATATAAAAATAATTAATACTTTAAGACTGAGTATTTATTTTATTATAAAAATACTTAAAGATGCATTTGTTCTGATCTACTTCAAATCGGAGCCACCCGATGGCCCAGAAAGTTTATTATGGGCTTGTCATATTTATACATGTTTAAATAATAATATATATAACCTTTGAAGCCAGACCCCATCTATATGTAGATTTAGCTTTTACATAATGCATATTTAATACTATAATCTAATGCTTTGCATGACAAAGATTAAACGTCAATTTCCGATGCTTTAATATTATAATCTAATACTTGACATGACAAAGATTAAACGTCAATTTCCGATGCTTTAATATTATAATCTAATACTTGACATGACAAAGATTAAACGTTCATTTCAGATGCATTTGGCACGAACACTCCATTAAAATGTGCATGTATCGAATATTTAGTTTATATGATTATAAATTAAATCGACTGGCGTCCATGTAAAGTTAGCAAACAAGCCAAAATTCGACCAATAAAATATCAATGCCAACTCTGCCTCGTCCACCATGATGTCACGTATTCATCTTAACTGTTGACAATCTTGCCACATGGAACTTAACTTAAGGCCCAGTCACACTATAGAATTTATCATGAGGTGTTTTATCTATAGGATAAACATTTTCATGTCAGCGGTTACAGAGATTTTTGTCTATGGATAAGTCCTAATCATTCAGGATTTGTCCTATCAACTGAACTGCACGTCTTCTTCTCGAACTCGCGGGGGCTGAAAAACTGCCCAGACAGAAAAGCAGCCCTTTTCATGCACTGCTTAGGCCACTACGTCCGCCCAGGTTTTTATTAATTCTATGTTGATATGTACAATGCATGGGTGTTGGGGGCGGGAAACCCGCTTTTCCACCTCCTCTTCGCCCAATTCCAAATGCAAAGCTTTTTTTAACGTGCACGCTTAAAAAAGCCAAATCCAGAAGATTGCAGCCGAGAGTTCTTGCCGCTTGACTATTCAAAGTTAAAGAGATCACAAGCAAAAAGAGTCTTATTTTATTTTAAGAAGCTTCTTGACAATTCAATATACGACCAAACAGCCAACAGTGACCACACCCTAGTTTTTATAGAAGGATACACGTGTGAAATATTTCATTGGGGTGTAGTTCAATATCCAGTGAAACATCAGTCTTAAAGACAACAACATCATATAGTTATTACAACCTGAAACATACAAATTGCGCGAAGAACATGCCACGAACTATTTACCCATACAGTGTGTAAACCACTGGCACGCTCGTCTGTTTAATACGGGAGGGGTGGTGGGCACATACTCGGCGACACGAATGTCTCGGACCTTGCCTAAATATCACAAGACACATATTTAGTCCAATAAACTTAAAGAATATGAATATTTTTGGATATTAATGAGACACTTGGTACTAATGATTGCCCAAATTTATGTTACTGGCTTGCCTAAATTTTCGCACATTCGTATGCAGACCCCTTCACCCCCACCCCACCCCAGCCAACACTCCATATGGTACGTCAGTGGCATCGACTACCATATGTATTCAATAATAAAAAAGCCAGATGTCTTTAATTTTTTAAAGGCACAAAATGAAATGAAATGGAGTTTAACGTCCTACTTTTGAAGGCACAATAAGCCAAATGTTCACATATATATATCATGAATGACAATCACTAAACTATTTTCATTTAAAGAATCTTGTTATGTTATTGTTATAATTAAGCATCTTCATGTGCAAAAGAAAACTCTATCAATAATGACCAGGCGTGTATGAAATTAGTATTATTTCATTTGACCAAGACCCCTAAAGATGGCGAGGAAATCAACAGAAACTAATGCAAACTTTAAATGATTTGAAATTTAAGTTATAACACACAGCACTGTTAAATAACTGTAAAGCAAGGAACCTCTACATTATGTTTATTTACATTTAAGAAATTCTCAAATTGGAAGCGTCTTGTCTTACAGCTGTTTGTGCATTCCGTCACGTAATTCAAATACATGTACAAGTATTTATAATATATACAATTCCTTGTGGAAACAGGCGTGGTATAATATAATTCTCATACAAAAAAAAAATTATACTTCGGATTTTCATTGACTAATCAGAGTTAAAATTCTAGCACCTATTTCAGCTTTATAATAAGACAAGCAGATGATGACTGGAATTGCATTAATATTTATGACTCAAGGGTATGTTTTAATAACGAAATGTTTCGGATACTTATATGGATGTAATTATTTCTAAAAAAATCTACGTTGGATGTTATTGAACAATATAATTATAAGATCCTTACGGACAAGAGAATCATTGACATCATAAAATTAAACGATATGTTAGTACCGAAGTGACTAGTTTGTGTTCAATGAAAGGACAATATTGGTGTCAGTCATTATCACATGTGTCATTGTGATAGAACTGGTTAAACACATTCCAAATATAACTTTAACACAGTGATCATGTTTAAATTACATTTGGAACGTGTTTAATCAGTTCTATCACATGTGTGATAATGACCGACACCAATATTATCCTTTAAGCTACATTACTGATGAGTATGTTTCTCATCAATTTAACCGTAATCCACTATATAAAAAATAAACAACTTGCTTTCAAAAGATATTACAGAAATAAATATATATACAAACAAAAACATTCATATTATTAATTAATACTGATCGTATTTGGTTTTTCATTATCGAAATCTAGATTCCTCTATCTTACATTCAAGAGTCTGGGAGTGTGTGATTGTTCATTATCCCAATTTAAATATTTTAGTTACACTCTATGGTCTGTGCGAGTTTGACTGACCGGTAGTTCCAGCGTGTAGTCTTGTATTTACATTCAAGAGTCTGTACATTAGAGTGTTATTCTTTGTAATCTTGGAGTTCATACGACCATAATGTTTTTTTTTCTATACAGTGGGGTATGTGGGAATGTATTTCAACGTTAACCTCACATAATTTTTTTTTGTCTATACAGTTAAGAATGGGGGACTGGATTACATAATGTTTTTTTTTTCTATACAGTGAGGTATGTGGGACTGTATTTCAACGTTAACCTCACATAATTTTTTTTTTGTCTATACAGTTAAGAATGGGGGACTCGATTACAACACCAACCACACATAAGTTGTATGTCAATCCCCGCAGGTAGAAAACTGGATCGTCGTGAAAGATATGTACACTCAAACCGTCACGAACATGGATTTTAAAGTAAACTGCGGTTCGCATTTTTGGGATATTCACAATAGCGATGCTCGAGTATCACTCCAGTACTTTCCGAATTGATAGAATGTGAAGAGAGTGCCACGGAATTCAGTTTTATCACAATTCGGTCAGTCCCGATAAATATTGTGACGTGTGTTGAATAATGACGTAATCAAACACTGTGAATATGATTCGTTAATTGAGATATTGTCTAGTGCATGCTTATTACCACTATCATCTCTCTTATTCACGCGATTCTAAAGAATTTTTTTCTTAGGTTGGGGGTATATAATTCTGGAACATCCCCTTACTTATCTCACCCTTATCTCAATGTGACTTAATCTGGGGCCTTCCCTATCCTCTAAGCACCACATCACATAAAGGTGTCGATTTAGGATACGAATCGAGGTCTCTCGCTGCTATTAAAATTGTATATCTTTGTTGTTTGAGTTTCGTACTCTAAATTTACACTATTTGCGTTATGAACGTCTAACATGTAAGCTGTCATAAAACATACAATCCTCCGGGGTGATTTGATTTAAAAGACCACAGTTTTTCTCTTCCTCCATGGGGTAAGTAATCGAACGCATCCTTGTCGAAATCTCTTGTTCCAGTAACTGTACACTACTGGATTAGCTGATGAATTCATGAAATACGATCTTAAAAACACAGAATAAAACTGATAGCCCGTAAATCCCAAGTTCTGTTTAAAATCTGACATCACCCACTTCAAAATGGCGATAATCAGATAAGGAACGAAACTAGCAATAAAAACAATAGTGATAGATAACAACATCAGAGTTGTACGATTTTTAGATAATCCGACGGGTTTTCTGATCTTAGCAGGAGTTACATCCCTTAAATTTAACCCGGTAGTAGATCCCATCGATTCCGGGGGAGAGAGCCGCGACTCGACACCGTCCATGTCCATAGAGTCAGCCGCCGGTTTCGTATTTAGTTTATTAGTGTACTTCACTTGATGAAAAATCTGCCTGCCAACCAAAATATACAACACACACAAAATAGCGAAACAGGCGATGAACATTACTGCCGGGAGTCCTACAAAGTACACGTTGTGGAGTATTCCATCATATGAATCTTCAAAAGCACATTTTTTACCGGTTAATCCTGGTATATCCGTTTCAACATCCTCGGCGCTGTGAACAATTAGAGAAGGTAGCGTTAAAACAAACGAAGCTACGGCAACTACGGCTACAATAATGGTGGCGTGTTTTTCTGTTATTTGTCTTTTAAATGGATGACAGATCTTTCTATGTCTATCGATACTTATGGCGACCAGTGTAAACACAGATCCTATCAGACTCAGGTATTTGGCCAGTTTGATCATTTTACACAATTCAACACTTTCAAATCTGTACGAATATCTCATGTTGATTATCTCTCCTGGTGTGGCGACGATGTTATTCACTAAATCAAATGCTGCCAGGGCTAATATAAATATTCTCGATGTGCTCTTTTGAAAGTTTTTAATGTAGACAATGAGAACTAAAGTGTTGCCAAAGAAACCGATCATTGCTAATATTCCTAGAAATATCATCCCTGCTAGAACTTTTAAGGAATAGGCATTATCTAACAGCATCAAATACTGCCATCGTTCTTCTTCCGTGAAATTTAACGTCACGTTGATGGTGCCACTGCTGTTATACGGAAATGACGTAGAGTTATTCATCATGGCTGTATTGAGGATCTGAAAGATAAAACGTACATAGATAATACAATGTTGTGTGTTATGATTTCCGATTTATCTTTGGCAAACAAGATGATAAAAATGTTTGTCATTGAGTCAAGTGGCGATGTTTGGATCCCAGTCCCACTGGATACCCCCTACTGCTAAACTCTCTCTCTCTCTCTCTCTCTCTCTCTCGTGACAGGTTAACTGCTATTATAAACGATATGTAACACTACCCTACAAAATTATTTTATTATTATTTCAAGAACCCGACTGATTGGTTGATTCTGTATATTCGACCAATCACAGCCGGAATTACGGAACATGTCATTTAATTAAACATACCTGATGTTCACCCTCTCAGCTGATTAACTGCTCATTGATCTGTTGGTATATAGAAATCTATAGCTTTGGTCTTTCACCTACAAGAAACATACAAACATATAGAAATACATATTTCTAAATAATTTAAAGATGCCACCCCACTCCCCCGTACAAACGTGTTAGGACTATGCACGTACTCAAACTAATTTATATATCAAAATCCCTCTCGAGACATTTTAATCTGATGGAAACTACACCATGTTACGAGAATCTATTTTTATCATCATTGTTTATCACGTGACATGATTGCTAGAGATCCTGTTTCAGCGTATATCTATCTTTAGTTGTTGTCCGTTTACCATAAATTTCGAATCCTAAGTAAATTCTTGGATTATTCTATTCCAACTTCTTTTTCCGCCGTTTAATTATCTCAATGTTCGCACAACCGATTGCCATTAGATCAGCACACGAGAAGCTAGCTCTCCTTGTGTCTCTCAAGGAGACAGGCTGCAAGAAATCGGGTCAGAAAATCCAAAGAAACACCGCGAGCGAACACAAGACCTGTGGGATAGCGACCCAGCGTCTTACTCAATGAAGAACAATTTAAGTGGCGTTTCAACGATTGTTACCTCGACGCTTTCACGCAAATACACAAATCATAACTCTTGTTAAATGGTTCATTTCTTTATTAATTTACTACACGATTATGACGCTTTTATAATAATCAGATTTGATACGTGTCAAATGGACAATTCTATCAAGAAATATTGTGTAACTTTGTATGTAGTTTATATAATTATTTAATTTTAGTTAAAGTAGAAACTGACCAATGTCCGAATTATATCTCTCTAATCTTTCAAGTCAGTTAACTGTAACGGCATAATATATGACGTAATTATAGATAACACGCGTTCTTGCGATGTCCATATCAATTTTTGTTTGGAAACATCTGTTTCCTGTATGTTCTGTATTCTACTGTAACTTTAGTCGGGCGATCGGCTCGCCTAGCGATACCCTATCTCGTTACTATGACCGTTAGCCAGGTTTGAGCACCCGTTTATTAAAAGTACAATTTTAACTATTTATCTGAGCTATCGTTGTTAGTGCTGAAATAAGCTAAACTCTCTAGAAACATGGTTAAGTGGGTAAGACGCTGGCTCGCTAGCCTGGAGGTCGGGTGTTCGATCCCTGCATTGGCCGAGAAAGTTCATCCAGATTTTCCGGCGTGGTTCCCCCTTGTCAGTGATGCAGGACGGAGGGCCTGACAAGGACAGCTGTCTAGTCCTTCGGATGAGACGAAAAACCGAGGTCTCGTGTATACATTAGAATGCACGTAAAAGATCCCTTGGCAGTTGGAATTCGATATAAGAGTAGGCGATAGTGTTGCGCTGCCCGGGCAAAATTTCCCTCATAGCACACTGTATGGCGTATGCCCGTCTTCATTGGCCCAGTATAGGAGCAGAACAGTAGGACGTTAAACCCCATTTCATTTCATTTCATTTCTCTAGAAACAGCACCGAGACACTATCTGTTCGTAATATTGTAGAAACAAAGATATATAAATTCGCTAAACCAGGGTCAGACCCAGACTATATTACGCCGTTATGCTAGGTTTCCACTATCACGATTAAATTGCTCTACGATTAGGATCGTTGATTTAATCGTGGAGTAATCGTGGTGATCAGTTCTGTCTTATCATATATTGAAGTCGTAGCAACCGTGTTGATCGTATCGAAACGTATCCGAACGTATCTGCACGTAGCAGACCGTTTACTCAATAGGGATAATCCTATCGTAACGCATCGCATGGCATTGGGGACCTGGCATTAGCAAAAGTTCAACAAATACTTGCAGCACCCCTTCTACCCCCAATGGCGGATTACCCCTGGCACACCTGCACACGGACCCACTACGTTTAGGTCCACACCATAGAAAGTTCTAATACATAAATTGTATGGTGATATATCATTTGAAACGATTAAATCAACTTTGTGTTCTACTATGGTAAGGTGACTCTAGTCAGATATACAGTTTCAATAAAACCTTGGGAGGGTGCTGGGCTTGGGCCCCATTTACTTAATCCGGCAATGTTCGTTGCCCTCCCACCCCCACCCCCACCAACAAAAAAAACCAACCCTAACGGCGGACCTAGTCCCAATGGTTAGCTTAACTTAAACAACAATCTCGCCAACAATCACATGCCCTAACCTTATTTACATCTCAACGACCTTGACAAATATTGAACTGACCTTAACAAATAGATTTAGCCAGGCATTCATATCACATCTCAATAATACAGTTTCGAACATCACAAGCGTAAGATACGGACAACAACGGTATATAAAATCCATTCAAACACAATGTCGCTAATCGCTAATAGTAATATACAACACCGCCTAAAGTAAATATAGATCGTTATAAATTTGTATACATAATAATGGACATTGACATGACTGACCTATGCTGATAGATAATTCATACTAACACTAGCTGATATATAATATAAACACACCAACAATACATGTATATTAAATCTAACAATGCTGATAAAAATCATACGATTACTAATTAAGATAATATTGATTATGCCAATAGTATAACACGTATATAAACCTATACAAATGATGAATCAAGCCAATTAATATAGAAATGAAATGAAATGGGGTTTAACATTCAATATTTCTGCACAAACCTGGATAATATAGACGAGCATACGCCATGCAGTGTGTCAAAGATTCTTCTCTAGCCTGGATTCCCATTGTCAGTGGTTCGGGAGGGTGGGTCTAGTTTTTCGAGTGGAACGAAAAGCCGAGGTCCCCTGACAGTTGAAATTTGATGTACTGTTCACCACTGACTTTATATAAATTTCCGGCGTGGTGCCTGACACGGACAGCTGTCTAGTCGTTCGGATGGGTCAAAAAACCGAGGTTCCGTGAACACATTGGCGTGCACGTAAAAGATCCCTTGACAGTTGGAATTCGATATAAGAGTAGACCGTAGTGCCGCTGTCCGGGCAAAATTTCCCTCATAGCACACTGTATGGCGTATGTCCGTCTTCATTAGCCCAGTTCGGAGCAGAACAGTAGGACGTTAAACCCCATTTCATTTCATTTCTATATATAAATCACACATGATTAATGCTTTTAAGTATTAAAATACGCAATAAATATTCGTTACACCGTTATATCTCAAATATCCATTATGTAAGTTTTAGATAGAGCTGTTCGTTCTTGCTATAACAGTTCAAAGATAGATAATGAAAAATTAAAAATTATATTCAACATTTCATTCAAATTAGTTTATTCTGTGCGAATATGTGATGTAGATCGTTTATTTTCGAGGATTAATGTTATCGTTAACTTTGAAAATATCGTGGGTGTTCAAATCAACTTAAATATCTGCCATCGGATGAACTAGAGAGTTAATTAATGTGAATAAATGTCGAAATAATAATTTATATAAAATTTGAAGTCAGACAAAATGACCCACAGTAGGTAAATTTAGCAGTTATATAATCCATATAAATGAGAGAGAAAGAGAGAGAGAGAGAGAGAGAGAGAGAGAGAGAGAGAGAAATGGGGTTTAACGTTCACACGACACAAACTAGGTCATTTCGGGACTAACACATGGTTCAATTTTATTTCAATAATTCGTTTGCGCATAGGGGTCTTTAGCAGTGGGAAGAAACCGGATGACTCGGAGAAAACCCACGAGGTTGGACAGGCGACCCTACTCCATGTCACGTACAACCGGGGAATCGACCCCCCCCCCCCCCCTGTTGACTCAATGACAGACCGTATGATACAGCGCGCGCGTGCTAACAATTCGCCGCCCCCCCCAAGAAATAGATAACATGTAAGAATAGAAAGAATTATCTAAACTAGCCATCTTTAGTCACTTAATCTAAGACGCATCTGTTTGTTATCTTCTTTCATAAAGTTTATCCAACATACACATTGCTCTAGATATTGACTGTTTGTTAAGAAATATGAAACAAAAATAAATGGGGTTTAATGTCCTACTTTTCTGCACGGATTAGGCTAATGAAGACGGGCATATAAGCCATACATTGTGCTATGAGGGAAATTTTGCCTACGGCCCACTCTAATTACGAATTCCAACTGTCAAGGGTTCTTTTACGTGCACGCTAATGTGTACACGAGATCTGCTTTTCGTCCAATCCAAACTACTAGACACTGTTCCTGGTTAGGTCCTCCGTCCTGTACTACTGACTTGGGGAATCGACGCTGGAAAATCCCGAGGAACTTTTTTAGCCAACACAGGGAGCGAACCCGGGACCTCCTGGTTAGAGAACCCAAGACAGCATCTTACTCCTCACTGATCCGCCGCGGCTCCAATTTAACGATATAAATACAAACCTATTAAATACGAGTTGTTCCTTTTGTCAAAAATCCAATTAATCCATTGACTGCGGTATGTAAACTTTCTATTAATTATCCACTGGATTTTGACAGCCAGTCTTCTTCATACAGTTTTTCGTAAAATGCGGTAAGTATGATGTGCTCACGTTTCACTCGACTTTAATAATGACTAATTTCTAACAAGTGCACAGCCAATAACAGAAGTCATGTTCTTCTATCAACGGACCGGAATGTGTTACACAGCGTGATGTGACATGAATCTTTCAAGCCTAACACGAGATTATTGTATTCGTGTTGGCGTAATGTAAATACAATCGTCGTAAATGAGTGGATTGTGTCCTATATATTACACATAGCCGACACAAATGGCTGTTGAGTAAGTTGTGGAGTGTACAATGATATAGGGGGTATATAGCACTATCACGATTTGGGGTGTAAAATGATGTAGGGGTAAAGCGCTATACAGGAATCAAAATTATTCTCATTCCTTTGAATCATATGAAAACTTTAAAATGAAAAGAGATGGAGTTTAACGTTCTACTGGTTGGTTTTGTTTACATCTTTCACATAGGAAACAAGTAGTCAATGTTGGTGACATAACCTGTGGCGTGCCACATGGTAGTGTCCTGGGACCGTTACTATTTCTGTGCTATGTAAACGACATGGCTATCAGCATCCCCCCAGAATGTAAACTTATCTTATACGCTGATGACAGCATAATTTCACAAACGCTTAGGTGTGGGCTTCATTCCTGTTCCCAATGGCTCATGGATGCTAAACTGTCGCTCTATCTCTGTAAAACCGAATGTATTCTCTTCGGGCCAAAACGTAAACTAAGTAATGTTACACAGTTTATAATAAGCTACAATAACCATACCGTAAAAGCAACGGATTGCCTAAAGTATTTGGGTCTATATTTTTGACAAATACTTGTCTGGTGAGGAGACTGTTGACAATATTATTAAGAAACCAAACTTGAGATTAAAATTGCTGTTTCGCTATAATAAATGCCAAAGACAAAAAAACCCCTAAAAATCTACTCTGTTCTGCACTTATTAAATACCACTTTGATTATGCCTGTTCAACTTGGTAGTCTGGTGTGATTCATTCCCTTAAAAATAAACTACAAAGTTCAAAATAAGGTTCTTAGATTTGTACATGGGCTTGGACGTAGAGATCATGTTTCATATTCAGATTTCACAATACTCTATATTGAAAACCAAGTTAAACAGTTAAAACTAAATCATGTAAATAAGATTTTTCATAATAATTGTCCATCATAAGTTAAATCAAAATCCCCAAATGTGTTAAAGATACTCATCAATACGGCACAAGATCTAGTTTTTTCAATTTTGCTGTTCCAAAATAGGCGGGTAGAGATCAGATCAGTTCACGTCATTTTATTATACCGCGATAAATATATGGAACGATTTACCGAATATGGGGGTGTTGGATGGCTGAATGGTTAGCGTGCGCGCGCTGTATCATAAAGTCTGTCATTGAGTCGAGTGGCGTGGTTTCGAATCCCCGGTTGTACGTGACAAGGAGTGGGGTCGCCTCTCCAACCTCGTGGGTTTTCTCCGGGTCCTCCGGTTTCCTCCCACTGCTAAAGACCCCTACGCGCGAGCGAATTATTGAAAGAAAATTAAACCATATGTTAGTCCCGAAATGACCTAGTTTGTGTCGAGTGGACGTTAAACCCCATTTCTCTCTCTCTCTCTCCGAATGATATGAAATCTTTAGTGAACTATACAGCTTTAAAACTGCAGCCAAGAGGTATTTATTGTCAATATTAATATGTGATAGGCCTACACGCTTGTTTATCTACAATTAATAAAATTGATTGATGTATAACATGGAGATATAAATATATTTAATTATTTGTGATACATTGCTGTGATGACATATATATTAAGTTGTGTTTCCTAATGATGACTTGACGCGACCTTGACAACTTTGGATCCCATTGGAAATATGCAACGGGTGTTATATATGCGTCCGACTTTATGGGTTATCCTAAGTAAATGGCTCTTTATGACACCTTATTACCTGTCATACTTCTCTATTCTCATCTCATGTCACTTCCTCAATCATACAATGCAGTACATGGTTCTTATGTCATATACATATCTATATATTGTTTGTTGTCGTGTTGTAACCTTTACTTGAAGAATAAATAAATAACAAATCATGCCATGAACGTACCCAACCTGTTTTGTGGTAATAAGGGTTTAAGGATTTTCGAATTGGTTATTCATCAGTAATTCTCCGATTTATACAGTAAATGGCTCAAACAGTATGTTAAGTTTGACCTTTGACCACGACATGAATGAACACTTTGACAAACTTGTTCAGTCATCTGTTATTTGTATAAACAAACCGTATTTAATAAAGGGACCTTTTTATAAACAAACACTAGTTACTACATGGGCCTTTTTATAAACAAACAATATTAATTTAATAAACAAACAATATTTAATAAAGGAGCCTTCAAATTAACACGCTTATTGGATTCTTTTAAATGACAAATAAGTGAAAATTCCAAATACTCACTCAATTTTCATTTATCGGTTCATGCTCTTTTATTCTGTCTGTTGTTCAATCAAATGATTCCATGGATACAGAATACCCAAAAGCTGGGGTGTAATATTGCTTTTAAGTTGTTAGTTAAATCAAAGCGGTTAGAGGTTTACCATAAGACACGTTGTGGGGACCACTCGATTTAATCCAGTACACTGTTTGAGTATTTTAAACACTACTCGTAACATGAATGTTCACATTATCGGTGATATCACTTTCAGTGGAAGCGGGCCTTAAATACAACTTTTTCACACACATGAATACAGAAGTCTGTTCTAATATATATATACAATACACTGAAGCTGGACACAATTTAAAGGACGTTAAAGCTACCTTCCGGTACGAGGATTGCTGCAGGTTAAGCTCGGTGTACCCACGAATAAAGCCAACACGTTGAATAAACTCAACACTAATCAGAACCTGAATACAGGGTTCTTCTCTGGTAAATAATACACAATATTGAAGCTGAAGAGTTATACCACCATAGTTGTTCAAAGTCAATTTAGTATAAGCCCTTGGTCCCCTCCAATAAACCCAACACAATAATGTAAACACTGAATACAGACGTATTTTCTTTGTAATACAAATACATATACGTATGGAGTTATATTATTATTAATCCTGTTTTATTTAACTAGGATTTATTCATCCGGAACGACCTAGATGTGAATCGACAAACGAATTGAACGTCTCGTCATATATAGACGTATGTAGTGGCGCATAGAGCATTTTCAGACTAAGCTATGGCTAATTTTATTTATTTTGCCTACACTAGATGACGAATTTTGTCATGGCAGCGGCATTTGCATATAACATTTATCTCTTCGGTATTAGGGACCCTTCAAGGCTATATATACACTGTCATTAGAGATAGATTTATGGAAGGCATAAAGTATCATTATCAAATTTGGTCAACAGCGAAGTTTATCCTTATGATAAGCTGCTGTCTATGGTTATGTTTCCCAGACAAATTTGTTTTTGGGCACATTCCACACCTTGCTTTGTGTGTCTATCTTTATTACTTTGGTTAAGCTACATACAGTGTGTAATGAATTGTGTCAATTTAGGACAGTGGTGTTTCCTTAAACATGCATTATGCAAGAGCTAAATCTGATTATTGCAAGTCTTAATTTAGGCTTCAGATGTTATAGAAATTATAAATTAGATCTTTATTTAAACAACAAGACCAAAATCAACTCTGTAGACCCACGGATGGCTCGGCTACAGCTCGGATTTAAATAGGATTTCACTAATTGATTAAATCAAATAAGGGGTAACCTGATGAAAATACGTCAGTTAGATCGAGGCTAAATGATAGAGTGTACTTAGCGAGGCCGCTGTAAAGCGTTTCCGTGTGCCATTGAAAACTTTACTTGATAATCGAGATATGTAGGTGGAGTTAACGCCTGTCAATCAAACGGTCGGCGAAGGTGAAGACACATTTCGCTACCATTTCTAGGCAAATATTACAACGATGATAACTATGTTCAGAATAAAGTAATTTGACTGCATTTTTCAATATATTCTTCTTTCATCATCTACTTTTGAACTGTTATAGCAAGAATGGCCAACTCTCTATAAAAATATCCCATAATATATCTTTAATGGATTGATGTCGTCAGTAATAGGGGTCTCAAGTGAATGCTTTACATTATCACTAGACTAAATGTATACGGTATTTATGTTTGACCTTTAACACTTCAATAAGTGTTACCCGGGATAAAATGTCCGGTTTGTGCCATGTGCTTAGAAAAGGCTTAGGCCTATATTTAAACATATATTATGCACGAGCTAAATCTATTAATTAGACATTTAAATTAACATGACAAGACCATGCCCATAATCAACTCTCGGTGCCACCGTATTTCTCCGACATCAAGTACATTAGCACGGTTCACACATATTTTAATTTAATTTAAAAATTTAGAAGCGAGGCTTAGCTTCTAACAACCAGTATGGTGGTTGAAATTAATGCACACATCTTGTCAAAGGCTAATTTCTTCGCTCGCAATAGAGTAATTTTAAAGAAATTTTCAATATATTCATTTTGCATTATCTATTTTCGAACTATTATAACAAGGCCGGTTATTTCTTTATCTAACACTTACACACTGTATCTTTAATTAGAAGTTATTAAAGGGCAGCGTCTCTTATATCGAATTCAACTGCCAATGGATCTTTTACGTGCACATGAACGGGAGCTCTGTTTTTCGTCCCATCCGAACGATTAGACATCTGTACTTGTAAGGCCCTCCACCTTGCACTACTGACATGGTGAAACCACGCCGGAAAATCCCGACGAACTCAATTTCAAAATAAAAAATGAGGTCAACCCCAAAAATATTGAAAGAGAGTGTGGTTCCTGGTAGAAAGCTTATTAAACGAGATCCTGTAATGATAACAGTACGCCCTATAAAGAACGTTGGACGTACTATTAAGCCATGTCTTGCTATGGTCGCCATCTTATAGTTGGTAATGATCATGATGCGCTAGAAGCATCTTGCTCTCGCGTCCAAAGGAACTGTGTACATGAACTATCATGATAATATTTCCAGGATAGCTTACAATAGCTTTAAGATGGCAACCACAGACAAACATGGCGTAATAGTACATAATAAGTAGCCTATATTACGTCAGTGTAATGTCAGATGTAGTTTTTATATTCTAACTACCCTTCAGCAATGCCGGACTGGGCCCACCTGCCCACCTGTCCGTGACAGGTGGGCCTAAGCTCATTAAAAAAAGTGGGCCTAAGCCTATAAAGAAAAACGAGAAAGAAAAGAAGAAAAGAGAAAAAAAGGAGAGAGGAGGAAAGAAAAGAAAGAAGGAGGGAGAGGACAGGACACAGCGAAGAAGAGGACAGGACACAGGCTGTGTCATGTCCTCTCCTTCCTTCTTTCCTAATGATAGTGCTCTTTGGTCATTCTGTTATCTAATTGTATCAGGAAATCAAAAATTTGCCTTCGTCTGCTTTGGTCTGAAAAGCTTGGAAAATGGGTTTGCGGTTCTAGATTTTCAAAATTTTCCCGGGGGGAGAACCCCCGCAGACCCCCCTCGGACACTCACGCGCCTTCGGCCCGCTCGTGACGCGCCATCGGCGCGTACTTGTGTGGGCCTTGGTCAATGACCTGACAGGTGGGCCTTTGGCCCACCAGTCCGGCACTGCCCTTCAGTGTCATGTTCCAATATCCTCAATATACATGTATAGGGAATAAAGCCAAAAGTTTAAATGAATTTAGTAATTAGATGTGCCGGTCGTTATAGTATGACGCCATACTAGTTTAATGGGGTTATTTGACATGTTGGTATACATAAAGGGTCGTAAACCAACCTCCGGCGTGGTTCTCTCTTGTCAGTGATGCAGGACAGAGGGCCTGGCAAGGACAGCTGTCTAGTCGTTCGGATGGGACGAAAAACCGAAGTCCCGTGTACACATTGGCGTGCACGTAAAAGATCCCTTGACAGTTGGAATTCGATATAAGAGTAGGCCGTAGTGCCGCTGTGCGGGCAAAATTTCCCTCATTTAACAACGTATTGCCCAGTTCGGAGCAGAACAGTATAGGACGTTAAACCCCATTTCATTTCATTTCACTTCTTAAGCCAACCGTTTAGGATATTTTTATAGATCGAATAGGTGAAGTCGGCCATCTTGAATTTTACCAATTTTTACCGCTTTCTGCTGCACAAAATGCGGTTAACTTTTAGGATGCTATAAGGTACACCTAAATAAACGTTTTCTTACTATATTTTCGTGGTAAAAACAGAAATTGACTGGTCTAATGTACTGTTATACCATTTAAAGCTCCGTCTTCATTAGCCTGGTTGGCGCAAAAAAAAGAGGAGGAAACACTCCATTCAACCCTATCTCCTATGTTCCTATGTGATGTATTCATATTCTATTTATAGCTAAATTGAGAAATGGGTACAAAACAAATTCCATGAATTATATGTAAGAAGAGATATACACACTTGTTGATCGGTCATGCATCAAATACTGTTATGACAAATTTTGTTTTGAAATTTGAATAGATAATTGAATCGGCTATGTTTATGTTCGATTCTATGCAATTATCGAGTCATATCAAGGAGTCTATCTCTGATATATAAACATTTAAAGTCGGAATTTACGAGACGCGACCAACACAGCTTTAGTGGGTCAGGAGTTTAACGAAAGATCGTTTAAAATAACTTATTATACAATATAACAGGCGTGCTTGTATTGTCAACAATCAGGTCAGTCTTAACTAATTTTTCATAATAATCGCATAATGATGTATGGGGAAAGGGATAACTGGGGTTTAGCGTACGTCCAACACAAAGTATAAGGTAATTTCGGGTTCAATGTTATTTCAATGATTTGTTGTCGCGTAGGGATCGTTCTTTAGCAGAGTGAGAATAAACGTGTTGAACATTCGACCCTACTCCTGTCACAAGCGGGTAATCGACAGCATACCGCTTGACTCAATGACAGATCTTATGGTCTATTTAGTCGTTGGGAGGTTCTGTGTACACATTTGAGTGCACGTATGAGAACCCTTGACAGATGGAATTCAAAATGGGTGTAGGTCGTGGTGCTGCTGTCCGGGCAAAATGTCCCTCATAGCACACTGTATGACGTATACCCGTTTTCATCAGCCCAGTCGGAGCAGAACAGTAGGGCGTTATAAACCCCATTTCTATTTCATTTCCTTATGAGCCGGAGGGGGTGGGGTGGGGTGGTGGCCGAATGGTTAGCACAAGTGGCTGTATCATAAGGTCTGTCCTTGAGTCAACTGGTGTGGTTTTGAATCCCCGGTTGTACGTGACAAGGACTAGGGTCGCCTGTTTAACCTCGTGGGTTTTCGCCGGGTCCTCCGGTTTCCTCCCACTGCTAAAGACCCCTACGCGCAAGCGAATTATTGAAATAAAATTGAACCATGTGTTAGTCCCGAAATGATCTAGTTTGTGTCGAGTGGACGTTAAACCCCATTTCTCTCTCTCTCTCTCTCTCGCTTATGAGCTAGGTCTCAGGCCGTAAACCATTCAACCACCCAGCCACCTGTAATTATCGCAGGTGATCACAATACGCATGGGCACTTTATTTGCGAAGAATGTCTGGAAGACGGGTAGATATTAAAGTAAGGAATCGTCATTTTTCATTAAAATGCCAAATAAACGTTAATATGTACCCACATTGATTATTTAACATTAGCAGGATACCAGTCTTTGCCCGGGGCCAAAATTCGCTCGGAACCGAAATTCAACCGAGCCCAAATTCGTCCGGGGTCCAATTCGCCTGGAACCAAAATTCACCAGGGGCCAATTCGTCCGGGAACCAAAATCGATGGCCTAAAACATTCACGGGGTAATGCTAGTTAATTTGATACCACGACGAAGCGTGATGGGCGAACATACACACATGCATATGTACACATATCCTTGATTTTTTTTATATAGATTTCGGGTCTTATTAAATTGAGTTCAAGTAACCTCTATGTGATTTATTAAACATAGATAATTCAACAAATATTTACAAGAAATCATAGCTCACTCTGTCTTTGACATACAGTTCTACAAAATATATAATAGACAATTATAACACATTGACAATTAAACTATTAAATTGTGTATTGCTTCTAAGTTGAAATCTAAAACAATAGTTCGTTTTGTAGAGAGTTTGGTCACTGACCAATTCCTAATCCCTCCATTGTCTATAGTATATCTGACGTAATAGCCATTGGCTGGATTAATAAGGTTCTATAGGCCAGGCGTCAGTTGGCATTGGATTGTAAAGAGTTTTACTCTATCTGTTTTTAAAAGGACAATAAGTCACTCATGCCAGTGTTTGTTTAATTTAAAGCGTATCTATCAGGGGAAATAATTAGCTAAATTAAATAGATTTAAAATACATTAATGTTGTCAAAGATAAGTTTACCAAAATGGAAATTGTAACATAGATTTCTTAATATATAGAACTTGTGTCGGTCACATATCCCTCGTGCTCCCAAAAATTCTACCTCCCGTTAAGATGCAGCTAAATCGCTAGTTTATACGACTAATATGCACCTAATTCGTGAAATATAAAAGCAATAAAAAAATATATACATATTGACATCTACTTGCACTATAATCCATAATACAAGAGTCTGGAATGGTTCTTCAAATCTTTAATACTGGAAACTTATAATAATAATTATCTACATACACTTACGGGACCGCGGATAACCGACTAGTACCAAAGCTACAAGTCGGGTAGACCTAGAAAACTGACGTATCGAACACAATCTTATATTTATATGGAATTACTTTTATCACTTGGCGTGCTCAAGTGTTGATATAAACAAGCATTGATGTAATAATTTACAATATAAGAAATAAAACAATGGTAAATAAAACAATTAATATATTAATTGACATGTACACGAGACAGGTCATATTGGCAGTTAATTTCTATCTATGACGCTTTATAAACAATAAGAAATTATAATAAATTAACATGTCATTAGCATTACATAATATTTCATCCTTGGCTATAGTCACCTTTCAATAGCACAGACAGCGAATGTTTTGAAGGAATAGAATAATTATTGTTCCTAGAGTTTACATGTATACAGAATTCAATTTGATGACTTTCCATTTTTTATATTACATAAGTATTATCTGAAAGATTTAAATTCTAACATAAAACTACTATAACCAGCACGATATCCTCCTCGCTCGCCATTTCTAATACTTCCTCGTATTATATTGATTCGCAAATTAATTTATGAACTGACATTTGGGAACATATTCTTGAACACTGAACTATTATTGTACAGTTTTAACTACCACATATTTTTTCGGGTACATCCTCCAGAAATGGTAAAAAAAAACCGTCGTAGAAATCTGGGTCTTCCTTGTATATTTTATCAATCCACTCCCATTGGTAAGTATACTGAAGACTATAATCGTCCAGAAAAACACGTCTTTCTGATAGATAATATTCTATATTTGTTTTTGGATCACGGTAGCGTGCGCATAATTTCCATCGTCTTCCCTCTGGGTGACCTTCAAAATCACTCAGTCTGTCCCACGCCATTTGAACTTGTTCATCTGGTAATAATGGATAGCATTCGCGAACTACATTTCTAACCACTTCGGGTACGGGTCCGGGAATTTTGTTTTTATGGATCTCTACATACGAAATATCCGTTTCATCCAAATTGCTTTCATGAACCGATTCCTTTTGTTTCACTTGGTATTCTAGTTGTCCCTTGTTTAATCGTTTCTGTAGAACTTTCTTGATAGGCCGAGAATCTGTGTTCGATTTGGAGAGTGTATATTCATTTTTGGTTACTGAATTCAAAAGTTCGACTTTTAGTACATAGTGTTGGAAAGGCAACAACGCTCTTGTCATAAGAGTATTTTATAACAGTTTGACATTCACTATCCAAAGTTGAGGGCTTGGTAACTGTCTTGACAAATTCACTAACTGCAGGAGATACAATGTCAACATACGGACTTACAGTGTTTTCGTTAACGCCGTTCCTTTCTTTAAATTTCTGGGATCGCATGACATCTCGAGCTCTTCTGCTGGCCGATTTCTTCACTCCGTTTTGACCAGAGACATTTTGCCAAGTCAGAATTATAGAAATGTTGTTACCTCCATTTTAGAAATTTCCATTGGTGTGCCTCTGTATTCAAATCCATCACTTTAATTATTTCTTCTAATATTCGTGGTATAATTTGTTCCAGCTTCTTGTTTCTTGGGGTACTCGCTTTGGCTTACAAGAGGATGGAATCTTACCAAACAAGGCTTCTGCAATAATTGTGACCACGTTATTTCTGGTCTTATTAAATTAAGATTCCAAGTTTTAAATTGCTTTGTGTCCAGGTTGATAATCACCTGCAATCACGCAAATTATATTTAAAAACTTATCAATCAAAAAGATATTTTGTTATTTTATAAATATTATATTCAGCCATATCTCGACTAGTGTTCACCTATATGGGAAAACTGCGATATTGTATCTCTTAAAGGGGAAGACCAACGATTTTCAACAAGGTTTCCATAAATCTTAAATATATATTGATAAATAAATTTTCATTAAACCGGAAGTGACATAGTTGGTTTAACACGCTCACTGGGCTCTATAGTAAGCATACAGATTTGGCACAAGTTTACTGCGGTATTGTGTTCACGAGTCGTCCTTTGGCCAAAAATCTGATCGAATGTGTTGTTTATTAGGATATTATAAACACGAATTTTTTTTTAACGTTTAATACACAAAGCCGTCGCGTAAGTTCACTCATACTGAACAGTACGCTGATCTTCACGATATCTTCCTCCTTAATTGTAGGTAGTCAATTTTACCATATCGTCATCATATTACCCCTAGTTACAGCTTTCATCGAAATAACACTGGTAAACTGTTCGTAATTATTATTTTGGTTTGGTTATGAAAGGTTCCAGGGTTCGTCCGTCCTCCCCAAAAGTTATGACAAATCCATGTATATATTATTTTGTAGTCATACCTATCTTCGAGCAAATAATATATACATTTATGTATGCATGTATTTTGTATAATTCTATTCATATCTATCATAGTGTAAATAATTCATCAAACAGCACGTCTAATATATTTATTATCGTTATGTAAACATATTTGTTCCGGATGTTATGCATAATTGATGTTGTTAAAAGAGCAAAATGTAAGAAAGGCCCCACGCCTAATCTATCTATATATTTGTGACTGTCGTTTGTCTGTCTGTCTGTCTGTTGGCGGCTACACTAGGTCTGCCCCGAGTCTGAAATTTGGGGTATAGGGGTAACTCGGACAGGGGAGCAACATAGGCCAGGTGGCGTTAGTCTACCACTTCCGGTTTCGGAGTTATGACCCCCGAGCGAAGCCGGGTATCCTGCTTGTTTGTACACAAGACATTGTATTGTTTTATTTAAAGGTGTTAAAGGAGCTAAGTCGCTAATATTTGGGACCTAGAAATTGACACAAATGGGTCGCAACGCATATAATAATGTAATATGAATGTATATAAATTGATTTACATTCAATCTTTTCTGTTTTTACTGTAATTTCTAATCAGTTAGGTTCGGCGAAATACGCCAGTATTCTCAATCGAATTTCAATCTCTAACGTCTTGTTTTTCCAGTCTACGCCGATAGTATTTATTGGGCATGCTCTCCAGATAAGAATATAGTGTCACCGTTTGACATGACTTGTGGAATATGCCTAGCCTCGTTTTTCGAGTCCCTTATT